TATATACTTGGATCATATGGTAACTCTGTGTATAACTTTTGAAGAGCCTCAAGATTGTTTCCCAAATGATCACAAAATTTAAAAATTCTATCAGCAATGAGTGAGGTTTACAGTTTCTCCATAATATTGTCAATACTATCTCTTTTTAAAAGCTCTTCTAATAGCTGTGAAGTGTTATCTCATGGTTTTGCAAATACTTTATGCCACTCTCTAGGTTGTCTTTTTACTTTCATGATAGTATCATTTGCAGCACACACATTTTCTAATTCAGATAAAGCCGATTTATCTATATTTTCTTCTGTTTCTTACATCACATGTTTAAGAATCCATTGCCTAACTCAAGGTCACAAAAACTTACCCCTATGCTTTTCTCTAAGAGTTTTTCATTTTCAGCCTTTATATATAGCTCTGTAATCCATTTTTAGTTAATTGTTGTATATGATGTGAAGTCAGCGTTCAACTTTATTCTTTTGCATGTGGATATCCAGTTGTCCAAGCACAATTTGTTGAAAAGATTGTTCTTTCTCCATTGCATGATTCTGGCACCTTTGTTAATAATCAACTGATGATAAATATAGTAGTTGATTTTAGGATACTCAATTCTGTTCCATTGCTCTATATACCTGCCCTTTATGCCAAGTCCACATTGTCGTGATTCCTGTAGCTTTGTAGTAAGTTTTGAAGTTGGAAAGTGGGAGTTTTCCAATTCTGTTCTCTTTCAAGATTGTTTTGGTTAGTCTGGGTCTCTTGTATTTCCATATGAATTTTAGAATCAGGATGTCAGTTCCTTTAAAAAAAAATCCAGCTTGGGTTTTAAAAGCAATTACACTGACTCTGTAGAGTTACTGGTTTTTAAAAGGCACAAACCTCACTTACAATGTAACCCCCATGAGGGGTGGCTCCATATCCAATTTCCACATACCCTTTCTCACCAGTAATACAACTTCAAAATTAAAACCTTTTTTTTTTTTTACAGCTACCTTTCTATTTCTGAAGTTGCCAGAATCCCTATGGTACAAATATGTAATATAAGACAACCAAAATGAAGTGCCCCAGTTTATTGACCAGCACGGCTCTTATATTTGATTAGGATTATTCCTATTTAAGTGAAGAAGCCAAGGTACAAAGTTGAACGAAAAAATTACCTAAGTCAAAGATGGTTTCCTTTCATTCAGTCCCATCCTAGGAGTGTGTGTGTGTGTTATTGTTTGTGTATGTGCTAAGGAGCTGTGTATGTTAGTCTCTGCACTCGTTTTTGTTTTAATCCTGTATACAGATGTGTGCATATCCATGTGTGCATGCAAGTATGCATGTGTATGTTGTTTTTGTGTTTTCACAAAAACAATTTGCCTCTTGTTTCTTAAGCTGTAGATCCATATGGTCTCCATAGTTTGACTTATCTGTGTGCACTGTTCTAATTGCCTGTGCTGCCAACATTGCAATGCTGGTTTATTGCCTTTTGTCCTTTCTTCCCACATTTTACTACCAAAGTGTCAGTCATTCTATAGAGCCTTTTTAATTCCCTCATACCCCATGACTCAGATAGTGAAAAAAGTGCCAGGTCAACTGTTTCCTAATTACAGATGGAACAGTGTTTACCATTCTAGACCATGACACACACTTCTTATGGAGAAGTGAACCCAGTCCTTAAGACTAAAGTGAATTCAATCAGGATTTTAATTAGAAAGCTGGTTTTGTATATTTCCTCTAGCTTTTTAAAATAAATTCTCCCTGCCTTCCTTCTTTTCCTTTCTTCATTTCTACCATTAGTATGATGATCTGACATGCAGAGATAGGTTGGGTTTGAAGATAAGTAATAGTTGGTAGTATTAAATCTAGACTGATGTTGAAATCAAGTAGAGAGGGGATATACCACCTTGGGGAAATATAAAAATATCAGAGGTTGGGGAGACATAGTTTGAAAAAGATTTCTTGGAGATCCCTATATGATCTTCAGTAGGTATTATGTCAGCCTGGTTGAGAATCACTGAGATAAATAAAAATGACTGCTATATCATCCATGAGCATTTTATTTTTATCAATCTAAGATGACTCACTGTAGCTTAATAAGTTCTTTGCCTTACAAAAACAAAACCAAAAAAAAAAAACCTAATGATAAAGAAAACAGAAACTTATTTAGAGCAATTTTACAGTGGCTTCCAATATTTGCAATTTTTTATATCCAGGAACCTAATGAGGTAAAGAAGTCTTGTAAATAAGGAGAAAAGGTACATACTATCCACAGTGATATTTCATAGCTTAAGCTCTAGCAGATTATGTCAGAAAGGGAACAGCACTCTTTGAAATGGACAAAGAGAAGAAAAGTACTTGAGGTGAGAGGTAGGTTTCTCCTAGCTTCAAAATATATTTTCCACATAATTGTGCTTATTTGAGATTCTGTATTGGTTGATGGTATCCTCTTTTAAGATACAAATATCTCATGGAAAGGTTAAGCTTTGATCATATTTTAGCATCAATTACGTTAGTCAGATATTCAGATCAATTTCTATCCGAGGTTTCTGTTCCCCAGTGGCTTACAAAGGAAGGTATAAGGAAGTTGTGTGCATCTCCTTATCTCTTCCATTACCTGTTTGATGGTATATGGGGAGGGACTTTCAAAACACTTCTGTAATAAAGAACTTAAGTGTTGGGATAGGATTAAGGTACATGATATAGATTAATTTGATTCTTAATTTGTGCTCCTCCTTTACTTTCTAAATCCTATCCAATTTACGAAACTCAAATTCCACATATCACAGAAAGCACTCCCTCTTCTTCCAGCCTATGTTGATTTTCCCCTTCTCTGAACTGCAATACTATGTACTATACCATCCAATTCAATGTTTGATTGCGTATTGTATCTCCCCTTATTTTTTAGTAAGTTTATATATGCTAAACTTATTCTCTTTTTACAAAACTGGTGATGTATGTGTACTATAAATGACGATTGGAAGGAAATGATTATAACTTCTTGAAGGCAAGGACTGTGCCTTTCTTATTCCTTTATAATTCTTTATAATTCTATAATTATAATTCCTTTATAATTCCTTTATAATAATGGCGTATAGGACAGTATATTTGAATCTAGGAAAAAATCAACTATAACTACTATTATAATGAAGATTTTATTCTATACTGTTATCTACCTTAAAACATACAACATTTGCAAGTAGATGTTATGATGGATACACTTGCAGAAATGGCTTTAGTCGCTCTGCTTAAGCTTTGCTCATGACAGTGGCAATTCTGATTGCAAGACCTTGATCCTGGCTTCTCAAAAATGAATAGTGGGAACATTTAGAAAGGCCATTCAGTAGCTTCATGAAATAGGACAGGAGCATTGAAGAAAATATAATAGCTCTCTCTTGTTTCTGAGATTGTCAAAATGTTAACTAATCTTATTGTGGTATTCATTTAACAATATATACATATTTCAAATCATCACACTATACACCATAAACTTGTATAATGTTGTATGTCAAATTTATCTCAGTAAAACTGAGGAAAAAGATCTATACCTGATAATCTCAGTTATTTCTTTGTTAAAGTTTTCTCCATAAAACATAGAGGAAAAAACAGTTATTAAGACAAAACCATTTTTTTTTTTTTTTGGACATAGACTCAAGAGGGAAAAGTGAATGCCCTTTTAGAAAGACAGAGCGGCTTTTAATTCTCCTTAGCAGTTGCTGGAACAGTAAAACATAGTAGCCATTGGCAGAGTATATGTTAAAAGGATTAATATATTTAATAATTTTCCTCTGTACTTCCTCACCCGTGTACTTCTTCCTTGTAATATCAGGTAGAATATAGTGCTGACGATTGCTTCTCTTTCCCCCAGTTGAAGTTTAAATTTATGAGTGCTGTATAACAAAATGGTGATTTTTATTCTGTCCTGGTGGTAAAACGGGATTTGCTGATGTGTAAAATGAGACAAAGATAAATAACAAACAGATGTTCTCACAAAATGTTCATTAAATTCCTGCCTAGTGGAAGATGCTAGATTACATGTGTTCAAACTCTAAATGTGTTAGAGAATAAGGAGCTTTTATACCTTAATGCTCAATTTAGAAAAGACTATATAGCTTTCTCTGTAAAAATCATAGTAATCAGTGACTTACATTTTCTTCCTCATTTCAGAGTGGCTTTCCATGACTGTTTTTAAACTTTTCTTATTGATTTTGACAGTTCCAATTATCCAAACAGATATCACCTTATTTAGAGATTATGAAGTGGGTATAAGCCTTCTGAATTGTAAGGACCAAAATAAGAGTTGTCCAATATATAGAAGTTATGACTTTTGCTTGAATCACGTAACGGACTATCTGTCATGGGGGGTATGATAAGAATTACAGGAGCATGAGGTTGGGAAGAGGGAGCAGGAACAAATATACCCTCATCTTGTTCCTTCCACTCTTCCATAAAAAGTAGAAATTATAGTGTTTTGCTTACAACAAGAACTATCTACTACTGGTAAGCCACTGTACTACTGTGCTAAGTGCTAGGTAGATGTTTGTTTCTGATAAGTTGTATTATGTAGTTTTTATTCCAAAGGTGGGAAGGAATACCTAGCTTTACTTGGAGAATGGATTAGCCAGAGAAGGTAGTTCAAATAGTTGGTATTTGATCTAAATCTTGAGAGATGGTAGAAATTTGTTAGAAAACAGAAACAATTTCAGTTAGAGTAAATAGCAGATGCAAAGACACAGAATCCTGAAACATGAGATTTTAGATAAACTCTCAATGGTTTAATTTAGCTTCATGCTTCAGTTTCCTGATCTGTAAAATGGGCTTAATGATGATACCTATCTTAATGGTTGTGAGGACTAATGAGTTAGTATATGTACTTTGGAACAGTGCTTGGCACATGAGGAAGGATTAAGTCATCTTAGCTCTATAGCTAAGAATAAAAAAGTGGAGAAAAGCTAAACTGAAGTAATATGTGGAAGATGGCAAATTATAGATTGATGTTATGCTAAGGAATGTGTATTTTTTTCTTACAGGAAGTTGAGACCTATTATGGAATTTTAATCTAGGGTTTCAAGTAAGTGACCAGATTTTCATTTTTTAAATTAATTAATTTATTTTTTCAAATACATTTGTCTCTGCCTACCCCCCACCACTTTCCCTTGCCCCCTCCCTCCCTCCCTCCCTCCGCTCTTCCCCTTTGGTTTTGTCCATGAGTCCTTGCTATATGTTCCTTGACTTTCCCATTCCCTTCCTTTTCCCCGCCCCATCCTCCGCCTCCTTCCCTCTTGTCTCTGTTCGTTTCTTTTCCTTCCAGTGTTGCTGGTCTTATTTTCCTTGCATCTTTGTATTGTTGGTTAGGTTCCACTTATAGGTGAGATCATATGGTATTTGTCTTTCGCCCCCTGGCTTATTTCGCTTAGCATAATGCCCTCCAGTTCCATCCATGCTGTCGCGAAGTTTAGTAGTTCTTTTTTTCTTTATGCTGCATAGTATTCCATTGTGTATATGTACCATAATTTTTTGATCCAATCATCTACTGATGGGCATTTAGGTTGCTTCCAACACTTGGCTATTGTCAATTGTGCTGCTATGAACATTGGGGTGCATAGGTTCTTTTATATTGGCGTTTTGGTATTCTTAGGGTACTGTTGGTGGGAATGCAGACTGGTGTAGCCATTGTGGAAAGCAGTGTGAAATTTCCTCAAAAAGCTGAAAATGGAACTGCCTTTTGATCCAGTGATTCCTCTGTTGGGATTATACCCTAAGATTTTCATTTTAAATAATTCTCTTTGCCTCCTGAAAGATAACTCTGGATGGGACCAGCAGGGGAAGTATTTGTGGAAGTTTGAGTCCGAGGGATCAGTTATAGGGTTATTGCAATAGTCTAGGTAAGAGGTGATGGGGATCTGAATTAGAAAAATGGCAGTGGAAATGGAAAGGCAGGTGCAAAATCTAGAGATATCTCAGAGTTACCAAGTATCACAGACTGGCATCTAGCAAATATGATTTGTTTGGCCCATATGCAGTTTGAATATGAATGCATCTTAGATGGAACATGCATTTTCTAGGTTGACTTAGGCTTCACCACTCCCTATTGATGTTATCACAATACCACAAATTGGTGTTACTTGGCTGCCTTTTATGAGTCAGGGAGTTAAGGATGACCACTAGATTTCTAGTTGTGCGTCTGCAAGAACAAATGTGCTAACAGCCTAGACCAAGAATTCAGGAGTATAAATGAATTTGCAAAAAAAGATGAATTATGTTTTCTATATATCAAGTTGGAGGTATCTGTAGGATATTAATCAGAAATATAGATCTGTGGGTCAGGATACAACTCTGCATTACAGATAAAGATTTTGGGAAATCATTAGTTCATAGGTGGTAGCTGAAACCATTAAGTAAATTGTAGAGAGTATATTTAGAATGCTGAAAGAAGAGGGCTGAGCTCAACAAGAAACCAGTGGAGCGATGAGAGGTAATGCTAAAGGAGGAAAGAGTTTCAGGCATAGTGCCAACCTCAAAGTGTAGAACCAAGTTCAGAACCTCTTTGAGTGCATTCTAGCATGTTCTTCATGGACCACTTGGGATCCCCAGGGCTCTCAGGGAGACTGAGAAATCAAAACTATGTTCACAGACTTCTGGTCAAGATGGAGTCATAGGTAAACATGGCTCACCTCTTTGCACAACCACAACACAAGTTACAGCTAGACTACAAAACAACTATCACCCAGAATTGTCAGAAAATTGAGCTATATGAAAGTCCAACAACCAAGGAATTAAAGAAGTCACATTCATCCAGATGGGTCGGAGGGGCAGAGGTGCAGAAATGCATGGAGATGCAGAACCCGCAGCCCCACACCCATGTTTGGTGGATAAAAATCGAGAGGAAACCCTTGGGAGTGAGGGATCCCTTGGGAGTGAGGGATCCCAGCCCCACACCATACCACCCAGCCCAGGGTTCCGGTGCCAATAAGATAAGTCCCCATTACTTCTGGCTGTAAAAACCAGTAGAGTTTGGGGTGGCGGAAGAAACTGGAATTCTCAAGTGTTTCCTCTTAAGAGGCCTGCAACAGACTTAGAACTTACACAGACTTACTCCCTCTGGGCTCCAGCACTGGGACAGCAGCTGGAAGGGCACCAGTGGCATATGGGGAGAAACTGAAGTGTATGGCATCAGGGTGAGTGCTGGGGGACAACTTCCTCCTGGACAAAATATCAGGAGCCAGGCAGTGGCACTGTCCCCTTGCTGAGCCCTCCTCCACACAGAGCCACAAAGCATCAACACCATATCAGAGACTACATCAACCTGGTTCACACTGGTTGCCCCGCCCTCACAATTACCTAAGGCTCCACCCCATCCAACTTATTGGTGCACTTTTCTACAGTAGACCATACTACTAAGTCAGAGTGTCAAAGCAGATCTATCTAATACATAGAAACAAAACAGGGATGCTGCCAAAATGAGGAGGCCAAGAAATACAGCCCAAATGAAAGGACAGACCAAAAAAAAAAAAAAAACCCTCCAGAAAAATAACTAAACAAAATGGAGATAAGCAACCTATCAGAGGCAGAGTCCAAAACACTGGTTATTAGGATGCCCAAGGAACTCATTGGGTACTTTAGCAGCATAGAAAAGACCCAGGGAGAAATGAAGGTTACACTAAGTGAAATAAAGAAAATTTACAGAAACCAACAGTGGAGTGGATGAAGCCAGGAATAAAATCAATGATTTGAAACAAGAAAGGAAAAACAAAACAGAACAATTAGAACAGCAAGAAGAGAAAGAATTAAAAAAAAAAAAAAACAACAACAACGAGGATAGGCTAAGGAGCCTCTGGGACAACTTCAAATGTACCAACATTCAAATCAAAGGGGTGCTGGAAGGAGAAGAGATAGAGCAAGAAATAGAAAACTTATTTGAAAAATAATGAAAGAAAACTTCCCTGACCTGGTGAAGGAAATAGACATACAAGTCCAGGAAGTTCAGAGAGTCACAAACAAGATGGACACAAAGAGGACCATAGAAAGGCACATCATAATTAAAATGTCAAATATTAAAGATAAGGATAAAATCTTAAAAGCAGCAAGAGAAAAGCAGAGAGTTACGTAAAAAGAAGTTCCGACCATATCACAACTGATTGAATGCAGAGTAAACATAAGAATCCAACTGTCTTCTACGAAACTCTTCTCTGAAAAGGATTTGCAAGTTTGTAAAGCAAAGCCATTATTCTCACTGTTTTTATTATGTTTTGGAAAATGTAGTTATTTTATAACCATTTATGTTAACAGGTATTGGAATTATTGTTATATTTAAATGAATTAAACAATACTTTAAGATGTCACGGATATAATTTCTAATATAAGGTATTGACAGATAAAACTGAAAAAATCAAGGAATCATTTAAATCCTCAATATTTTTGAAAAATTTAAAGGGGTTTTAAACTAAAAAAAATTGGAACTGCTATTGTGGACTTTTGAAATAAAGCGGTGCAGAGAACAAATGAGGACATTTGTTGTCTTACTGTTAGGTAGCCTAAACTCCTACAAGGGAAACTGAGATAATGAAAAACATAATATTAAAAAACAACTAAGTTCCAAAGCAAATGACATGGACAGTAGCACTAACCCATAAAAAGAAGAGTGTGAACTAAAGTGAAAGGCATTTGTTGAAATGAGAGACTTAAGCATAGCTAGGATTTTGTAGAATAAAAGTGGGGAAGACACTTTCTAAGCTTGATGACCATGATGAGCAGTCCTAGTGGCCAAGATAAGCAAGATATACTCTAGGATGAGTAAGGAGATCATCCTGACTGGAGTAAATAGTTTGCATTGGTGAATAGCAATGAATTAGTTGAATGAATAGACTAAAGCCAGATTATGAAGAGCTTTAAATGTCAGGATGAGGAATTTAGATTTTATAAGCCATGGGAAAATATTAAACACTTGTGATTCCAGATGATGACATGATAAAAGTGCTATTTTATGAAAATTAATGTAGAGGTAGTGTAAAGGAGAGATTGAAAATAGAAATACTAGAAATCAATTAAGACTATATTATGGTCATGCATTCCTGAAGTGATGAGAACCTAGCCATGGGAAAGGAAAGTAAATAATGGATACAAGAGTTATTGTAAGGCAAAATGAACAGGACTTGATCAATTAGAAAAAGGGGAATAATTTTAAGACTGGATGACTGAAAGGATAGTGCTGTCATTGATGAAATTAAAAAAGCATAAGAAGACCCATTTTAAACAGTTGGTGATGATTATGTTATTAACTTGTTTTTTGAAGATGTGGGATTATCCTAATAGAAATATATATGCATAGGGAGTCATTAAATAGGAAATTGGATGAGAAGTATAAACTTCAGAGGCTGCATTAGCGAGTTGATTACTGAGGTTAAGAAAATGAATGAATTTTTTTGAGGAACAAATTATATGAATCAGGAACCCAGGAACTAAACCTTATGATCTAAATCTATTAGGTTTTGATAGGAAGACTGAAGAAACAATTGAAGACTGTTATTGGAACAGAATAATATCATACTGCAGAAGCCAAGAGAGGACAGAATTTGAAGAAGGAGATGGAAATCAACCATGTCAGATTTCACAGAGAAGAGAAAATTTAATTATAATGCAAGCTCTGTGAAAGCAGGGATCTTTGCATTGTATGTTTTACTTGGTGATCCCTAAGCACATAGAATTGTACTTAGCACAAAGTGGGTGATCAATAAATAAATGAAGGTTACTTGGCTAGTGCTGCTAAAAGTTTTGCAAACTTTGCCCTGGCCAGGTGGCTCAGTTAGTTGGAGCATCGTCCCATATACCAAAAAGCTTGTGGGTTTGATTCCTGGTCAGAGCACATAGCTAGGTTGCAGGTTCCATCCCCAGTCAGGGCGTGTACAGGAGGCAACCAATCAATATTTCTCTCTAATCTCTCTCTCTCTCCCCCGTCTCTCCCCCCTCTCCTTCTTCTCTGTAAAATCAACAGCAACAAAAAAGATATCCTCAGGTGATGGTTTAAAAAAAAATGTTCACAAGCCTTATAAGCACAATGAAGGAAAATAATTA